AGTATTTGATGACTCATCCTGCACTCGGGGGCGTTTACTAATGCTGCGTCCAATCAAACACTTTCTCTCTTCTGACGCTGCCATCACTTAAATTTTTTAAATTTTAAGTCAAACTCAAAGTTTTTTGTTTTGAAATACATTTACACAAGCTGTATAAAGGTGTGTGTGTGTGTGTACAGGAGGAGGGCGGGTCAGACAGGTACAGGAGGCGGGGCTCTGGTTCACCTGGGGAATTCCTCTGTACTGATCGTTAACACACCTGAGGGAGAGCAGAGATCAGTCCCTTCTTCTTCTCTTTATCTCTCTCTTCTATCTCTTTTCATCTCAGACTTCAGATCAGAACGTTTTCCTCCGACACGAAACATTAAAAGTCATCAGAAACTGAATCAACAGACCAAATTAAATATAACTGAACGTCTAAATTCATAAACAAATATCACCTCTCGTCTTCTGAACAGAATATTTCAGGGTTTGTCGACTCGTTATATGAAAATTAAATAATAATAACTTCTGCGTCCGTAACACGATGTGTGATTACAAACATCTGTATGATATTAATATATGTTCTTAATTTAAAGGGTTTAAATCTTATTTTAATAGATTTAATATAAGAACATGTTGCTCTTTTCTACACAGTCTATATTTATAGATTATTTTAAGCTTTTTACCAAAGTACAAGAGTAGAGGAAGAGACTATTAGTGTCTCTTCCTCTCCTCTTGGGGCTGATCTAACTGGTTGTATTGCTGCTATTAAATATAATGTATAATATATAATGAATATTTTTACTTTTAGCACTTTACTTAAATGCAGGACTTTATTATTATTTAGTGTAAAGAGCTGCAGTGACAACGTTAGCATCGTCCTGGTTCCTTTATAAAAATAAATAAAAGAAGAGAAGAAAATAATCTGATGCTGAACTAAAGTTTAATCAGCAAAATAATCTTCACTAATAATCTTTTATAGTTTTTTAAAGTGATCTCCACAAGTAAAAAGCTAACGTTAGCCTATAAACGTGCTACAGTCACATTTCCTGTTTGTTTGTTTCTATAAAATATTTAGTCGATGATGTTTGTGATTGTAAAACTTTATATTGTTCATCTGTCTCTCTCTCTGTCTCTCTGTCTCTCTCTCTCTCCAGCTCCTCCCAGTCTTTTATATTTAAATGCTGGGCGAGCGAGCCAGTCTCACCTGCAGGTAAACTCTCTCTCTCTCTCTCTCTTTCTCTCACCTGAACCTGAACCTCCAGCAGTTGGCTGCAGACGTCGGAGCTGCAGGAAGGAGGAAAACCACAAACCCTCTGAAGAGTTCTGAAGATCTCCGTCAGATAAAGAGAGAGAAACAGAAACCTGTAGAGAGATTTAAAAAGGAATAAAACTGTTTGAAGGAAGAAAGGTGGACGACAGGTGGACAACTGTATCTTTTCTTTGATTTTTAAGACAAAAAGGTTGAAAATGGAGAGAATAATTTGAGTTTGAAATAGGAAATAAAAGCAACAGGTGGATGTTTCTGAGGACGGTCGAGAGCTTTTATTTTTAAAGGATCTGAAGAGAGGAGGATGAAGAGAGGATGAAGGAAGGAGAGCTGGGAGGACGTTCTTAGGAGAATAAAGTTTGTCCACAGTGAAGAAACAAAGACGTAGAAATAATCAGACAACTTTGGTCTTCGCTGGACCGTCCTGAATGTTCGGAACCACGAACTGATCCAGGATCAGAACAGAGCCGGCTGGATTAACCTCTGACCTCTGACCTCTGACCCAGGTTTGATTTTTAATATTTTTAACATAAAACTTTGTGATGAAAGAGGTTTAGATTGTTTCTGTGTAAATTTCAGTCCCTTCTGGATTTCACAGCATCTTTTATACAAGAAATGTGATTCATGTTTTTAGGCAAAAGAAAGAATTAAAGGTAGAGTAGTGAGTAGATGAGTCTGTGTTTTAGTCTCGTTAACAAACCTTTATTAAGACACATAAAAGCTTCAACATTAACAGGTTAGGAATTTATTGATTGACATTTTTTCAGAGAAAGTTCTTCAGATCAAAATTGTGACCAAAAGAGGCTGTGATTGTCTTCCAGGATCCTGAAGGTTTTTTGGGATTGTTTCGACCTAAAATGTTTCACTGCAGCTTTTTTGCAGGAGAAAGTGAAAAAATGCAAATATATATATGTATAAATTATTAGAAATCAAAGGGAAACTGTTCCAGTGAGAATAAAACTGTTAGTAGTTCGGTGATGTTTGGCTCAACATTTTGTGATGGGACGGCTGTGATTGGTCAGAATTCTCAACCATTAATCAATTAAACTAATCTGCATCCATCTAATGAATCCAACACTGAAGCACCAAAAGCTGCAGTTCCTCTAACGGCCACCAGAGGCTCCAGCAGTGAGTCCGGCTCCATATTAAACTGCAGAATAAACAGTTTACAGCTTGTTGCTCTGTACGTTTATACAACTCACCCCTTTACATTATATAAACACTTCAAGTTGTTAATAATTAAGCTCCACCTCTTTGACCGTTGGCAGAGTCAGGACCGCCAAGATGGCGATGACCACAAACCTCGACATCAGCGACACTACGAACTGTTTCATTATACGATCTGTGAGCTGGAGGGTCGACTGTGACGTCCAGACATGGATCTTATAATTCATCGCTTTTCTTTTAACAATAAAAGCATAAAATTATTACAAATATATTAACACTGGATTACTGGCCCAGAGAAACGGTATAAAAGTCATATCTTCAGGATTCAGTCGCTCTTTAACTCAACAGACTTCAACTAGAACTCAATACTGTTGGAGAGAACAGATCCACATTTAGCATCAATACACTGGTTTAATTTAGGATCAATAAGATTTTATTGATTACTTTTAAAGGAGCAGTTTGGTTTGGCAACCAGCTGAATACAGCTCAGCCTCAGGAGCAGATGTAGAGAAATATTAATGGGATGGAACATTTTATTATCAGTAAAGGATTGAATAGAAATATCTACAGGTGCAATTAGAAATCAATACATTGTATAATAATGTTATATAATAAATGTCTTTTTTCATTGAACTTAAACCGATCATTGAGTTTAAAATGTGTCCCTAACTGATCATTACATAAAACCTGCTCTCACTGTAGATAATAACGTCTCATTCTGAGTAACAAACACACAATGATTATTATTAAATTAATGATTAAACAGTAATGAAAACATACCTATAAATATTATATTATAATATATTATATTATATTACTGACTGATACTCTGGACCTTATCTGTTTAGTTTGAAGTGATTTTGTTTGTTCAGTGTTGACTTTTACCTTTTTTCCTTCTTCAGATTTGATAAAACCTCAGAACCAGAAGAGCAATGAGCTGATGAAAGAGGCTGAAGGTGATTTTATTATTGGATGGAATTAAGTCCTCTGACTTCTCCTCGAGTTGAATCAGAGACCAGTCTGAGAGATTGTCCTGATGTATTTATGTTAATTGGTTTGAATTTGAAAGGTGTGAGTCAGTTTAAGTTTAAGTTCTGATCGATAATCTTTTCTTAACTCAGACGTTTGAATAAACCCTGAAGAAGAGAATCAGAGTCTGATTGGCCGCTGGTCGTCTTTAAGCCGGAAAATGAGGGCGAGCGACAGAGGTCAAGAAGCAGACTGGTGAGGTGGAATCAAACCCACGTCGTTGGCGGTACGCAGGCGTGATGTTGGCGTGTCACTCTCTGCTGATCACCTGGGTGCTGCTCGCCGCCAGAGCCCGAAGCCAGAGCTGGAGACCCTGCACAGGTACGAGGGCGCCGGTTCCCCCAGAAACAGACCGGTCTGTTATTGTGTTCCCGCTCTTCCACCTGTGTGTCCCGTACAGAGACAGGTCCAGGATGCTTTTAGCCTAGCTTAGCACAAAGACTGGAAGCAGAGGGAAACTGCTAGCCTAGCTCTGTAAACACTCAAAATCAACAGTGTTTCCACTCAAACCTCCTCGTGGTCTTTCCTGGTTTACATTAATATTATGAACTATATAATATCTAGACCAACAAGCTAACTCTAAGTTAACTAACTCAGATTATTAGCACTCAAACAGATCCCCTAAACCAGGTAAACTCTCAGTATCCAGTCCAGTACATATTAGCCTAGCTTAGCATTTGGACTAGAAGTAAATGGAAACTGCTAGCTTCAAGATAAAAGTTAAATGTTGATTATTTAACAGTTTTAGAAACAACACTGCACGTAGCTCATAAATACATCGCTAAATATCAACTCAACTCCTTCCTGTAAGTTCTCACTAACTAGTTTAAAATCAAACATTAAAGCCTCACAAATGTAAGCTAGTAAAGACTTTATAATGTGTAAATCTGTTGCTAGGAAACATCTGTAGCGCCGTCCAATCAGGAGCAATCAGCTATGTAAACAGGAAGTCACTGTAGCATCACAATGTAGCACAAACTCCAACAGTTTTATTTCTGTCTGCGTATAGAGAAATCTTTAGTCGTATTCATACAGTTTAACTAATTAACTAATTCATTAACTAATTATTTATTCATTTTATCAAATGGTATTAGCATAATGTTTTTTAGTGAAATTTAATTTAAAATCTACCAGATTGAATCATTATTTAACAGAATTTATCAAGTGTCAGGTCAGATATGTCAACCCTGATATTAGCATGCTAAGTTAGTATTAATTGGTGCTCTGACATTGATCGGCTCTCTCTGACCTGGTCGGCCTGTTTCATGTGTTTCAGACGTTTATCTGCTGCTTTGTGCTCCGTAGTTTTTTTATGTCTTTGAAATGTGAGATCAGTTTCTGTGCATGTCGTCCCCTCCCTCCATTCATCCTCCATTCATCCTCCATTCATCCCGTTGCAGCAACAAAACACACAGCCGGAGCGTCGGAGCAGCTTAAAGGGGAATTCCAGATAAAAACTAACATCAAGCTGCTGCTGTCAAAGATTTAAACTCCCTCTGCGTCTCTCCTTTCATCTCTGTCACCTTCTTCCTCGGTCTCAGTTTGTCTCTGAATCCTGGAAGCAGAAACACAGTGAGGTTTAATTATCACCTAAAGTTTGAGTAAGTTTGAGCTTCCTGCTGCTGTTTCTACAAACTGGTCAAAAGGTTCAGTGTAAAATGAACAAATTAACATATTTTTAAAGACTTTATGTCCGATATTCTCAAGAAATGTACACAAATAGGATACTGTTTATGTTTTCACTGTTACAGCAACGATACAGTTTTTCCTTGCCTCTGTTCTCCTAAGTCATTGCTACATGGTGAAGGTACTGTTTGAGGTCTCTGTAAATGTTAAAAGGGAGTTCGGGTCTAGACCTGACTCTATTTGAAAATTTGTCCTGAGATAACTTCTGTATGAATTGGGTTGCTATACAAATAAAATTGAACTGAACTAAATCACCAACTTCTCACATTTACCTTCATAAATGAACCTTCAGTGTGGAAACCACTGATGTTTACTGATGTTTACTGATGTTTACTCTCACTGGAAACACGACACCATTATTACAGGAACCCGCCAAGAGCTGCAACCTGTAACTCGACACAGCTTCAGTTTTATTTTTAGACCACAGATAGAGGAATGAAACGGCCCCTGAGGTGATAATGTGATAAAAATAACCTCTGCAGAGTTAATCTGTTAGTGATCGCTGATCTGAGAGCAGATCATTTACATCTGAGACTGATATCCAGCTGACCGCAGCATACACTCATCAATCAGTCAGAGAAAACATCCCGTTCAGATAAAACAGCTGCAGTGATTCTATCAGCCTCACTCATTCATTCTCATCCACTCACTGCTTCCACTGTAACTATCAGCTTTCAGAGGCTGCAGTGAAATCATTCATTGTTACTGAAGACATTTAATTAAAAACACACTTTAACAGTTTTACACAAATTAATCTGTTCATTCTCTAACTACCCAGCAGCAAACAGCATTTAAAAACCAACGTTTACCATCTTCAGTAATTATAATCCAATAATAAAGGATATATTATTCTGCAGAATCAGTACTTTTACATTTATACTTTAAGCTCCAGTGTTGCTGATTGCAGGAAGTTTGTGTGAAGAGTTTTGAATGAATTTTGAGCAGATTATTTCCTGAATATTGATCAGAAATGAGTTTTCCTGATATTTTTAGAAACTTTTCATACAATCCTCTGTAATACTGTCTGTATTATATATTTTTTCACAATACAAATAAATATTTTGCGCTTTAAACTTTTGTATTATCTGATGAGTTTTACTTCCTCCATGAATCTCACGATGGAGCGACTGTGTGTTTCCTCCTCAGACCTGCTGCCTCTGGACCTGCTGACCAGAGCCTTGCCAAGTCCAGGACAAGCCCCGCCCACACAGGTAGGACACCTGGAGGGAGGGAGGGAGGAGGGAACGATGAAAAAGATGGTAGATAAACCAATAATCAATCAATGTCCAACCAGGTGCAGATGGTTCAGTCCAGAGGGTCCAGAGGGCTCCGATTGGCCGGCGCCGTGGCAACAGCGCTGAGTTTCCCCGCCTCCCAAATCTTCAGCAACTGTGACTTCTTCCCTGCTGAGTTCTCATTGGTCGCCACCTTCAAGATCCCGAGACTGAGACAGAAGGTGAGCCAGCAGGACCGAAGAGAACCTGGTCTGGTTCTGATCCGGTCTGACCTGTTGTTCCCCGCTCTGTTTCCAGAGGAACGAGTACATCTTCTCCGTGGTGGAGAACGGATCTGATCTGCTGTTGCTGGGGTTACGTGTCTCAGAGAACCGCCTCCACCTCCTGGTCACGTCCCCCGGCGTCGGTGGGCGGAGCCGGCTGAGCTTTAAGGACGTTGGACTGGATGATAACCGCTGGCACACGCTGGTACTGGCCGTCACCGGACCGCACGCCACCCTGACCATCGACTGCGGACTCCCTCTGGAGCTGTGAGTCACCTTCAGTCCGGTTCAGACCATCGCAACCTGGTTCAGTTCAGTCTGGTTCACCTTGGTCGGACCGTTGCATTAACTGGTTTCCCGTCTCCCAGTAAACAGGTCCAGTCCTTCCCCAGCACTCTGAGCACCAGGGGGTCCAGGTTCTTCATCGGCAGCAGGAAGAGGTCGAGGGGACGCTTCTCTGTGAGTCTGTAGTCCGGATCAGGATCAGAAGCATCCAGAAGCTTTAAGGTGGTTCTGATTGTTCTGTCTGTGCTCAGGGTTTACTGCGTCAGCTGGTTCTACTTCCTGGTTCAGACGCCACGCCCAGACTGTGTCCGACCCGTGACCCCAGCTTGGCCGAGCTGTCCGTCCCCCAGGTCCTGAAGTCCCTCCATCTCCAACAGGACCACCACAGACCAGTTTACCCGTATGGTGAGTGAACCAGCAGGAGGATCCAGAATCAATAAATCCGTTAATAAAAGATACTAATAACTAATAATAACTAACAGCAGAGTCAGAGACCGGAGTCAGTCTACAGATCCAGTCAGGGTCGGAGCAGCCGCTGTGGAACCTGAGAGGTAAAACTCAGGGAATAAAAGTGTTCATCAGGAAACTCGAGCTCACAGCTGAAGTAGTTCCGTATTAAAATGTTTTATTTTGGTATCAGGACACGTTACACTGTCACATTATGTTCAGCTGTCCAAATACTTTTGGCCACACGGATTCAAACCAGTGGATCAGATTCACATCAGGGCACGCTGACCTTTAACCTTTCAGTGCTAGTGGTTGAGGTTGTGATGGTATCAGAGATTCAGTAACCTGAGCTTTAAAATGACTGACAGCAGGGAAGAGCTCCTTCCTTGTGAGCTGGTGTGAGGTGTGAGTGGTGAAGTGTGTGTGAGTGTGTGGTGTGTGAGTGTGTGTGAGTTGTGGAGTGTGTTGTGAGTGTGTGAGTGTGTGTGTGGCTGTGTGTTGAGTGTGAGTGTGTGGTGTGGTGAGTGTGAGTGTGTTGGTGGTGTGTGTGTTGGTGTTATGTGTGTGTTTGAGAGTGATTGACAGCCCATTACAGCTGTTGGTTTTATGTTTCACTGTGTGTGTGTGTTTGTGTGTAACCAGCAGTTTGATTGATTTGATCTCCTACTGTTTGATGTGTGTTTCCATGACAACAGTGTTAGACAGGTATCCACTACCAGCTTTAAAAACAACATCGTACAGGTGTGTTCGATGAAGCATTTATTAAATCACGTCTCCAGGTGAACGTTGTTAGCCTAGCTTAGCACAAAGACTGGAAGCAGGGGGAAACTGCTAGCGTAACTCCATCAAAGCCCAAACTCGAGTGTTTCCACTGTGGTGGTCTACTTTCACCAGAACACCAAACTGTTTCATACAGCTTTGAAGATTAGCACAGAAACAATCTTACTAATTAATCCACAATAATCACAAAGTCACTGCCAACCATGCTATCATGTAAGATATATTACATGGTGTATAGCTAGTCATTTTTATTGTGCCCATAATGTTAAATTGCGTTCTGCTAACTTGGCAACTAATTTGGTAGCTAGCAATATGTTGTATTTTGTAAGCTTTAGCTCCTGAGCTAATAACTGTTAGCAGCTAAAGTCTGTAGTTCAACATCCCTCAGTTTTCAACAACTGAAATAATTGTTCTAAACTGTTTAGCTTGCTAGTTGATGTTAGCGTAACCTCCCCATTGTTGTTTGTATCTCACAGACGAGGGTTTCCTGAGTATTGTTGAGGTGAACTGTGTGAGCAGGATATCTGACTCTTTGTGACTCAGAGTTTATATAAACCTGAATCAGGTGAACAGTCTGTGGTGTGTTTGATTTACGTACCTGCCTCTGGCTGAGTGCACTGCATACACAAGTCAACTGAATTTCACTTGAGGTTCTCAACCCTTTACCCTCTTATGAATGAAGTCTGAAAGGAAACCGTGTCACATATTTTTACAAGCTGCGAGTATTTAAAATCAGTTTTTACAGAATATTTTTAAAGTCTCAAAGAGGCAAATTTTAATGTTCTGATAAATTATTTTATGTAGCAGAAAATATGTTTTTCATGTTCACTGAATTAATCTTGAAGGTGGTCTCACAGTAATCCAGTGATAGCTGTCATCGCTAACAGGAGCTGCTAATAGCTAATTCTGCACACTTTTAATTGTGGTGCCAGTTTGACAGCCTGTGTTGAGTTCAGTGTTTCAGTGTTGAAGTACAGTTGTGTATCTTTGGGGTAAATCAGTGGTTGGATTAGCTCTGTCTGTTACCACGCGGCTGTCCTCCCCCTTCGGGTGATGTTGACTGACGTGTAATGATATGAGAGTCATCCTCCGTCTGTCGGCTCGTAATGAGGATGTGTGTTTGAAGGAGTGACGAAAACCTTCATTACCCTCGCTTCATTAACAGTGAGCTGTCAGTTCCCCCCGACCACACAGTCAGATACAGTTACTGTTTAAATTCAGAGGAAGAAATCATAAGTAATAAATGTTTGCAGCTCTGTCACTGAGGGATTGTTCCTACAGAAAAGGGACTTTCCTCTGCAGGTAATGAAGCATCACTCAGCCTCCACACAGTGCGACCTGTCTGCTGTAAACTCTACACATCTGAGCTTCTTTCTACATCGACTCCACTACGTCTCTGAGGGAAACGTTCATCACAGCAGGGTCCAACCTTTTTAGAAAGAGCTCAGATTATTTCTTTCCTTTTAAGAGGTTGTATTTTTTAAGCTTTAGTTAAAGAACAATTATAGTCTGTAGTTGAGGAATGAGTTACACGTTTACAGCCGTAATACAATTTGAAGGTTAAAGGTTGCTAGCTGATGTTGGCACAACATTGTCGATAATGATTTGCTGTGGAGTTTTGTACCAAATGCAGAGAGATAAAGCTAATATCTAATATCTGGTCTTGATATCATGCTAACATACTAAAGCTAGAGCTAACAAGTTCAGACTGAAGCTGAAACTAACAGGTTCCAGGTCATGCTATCATGCCTTCCTGAACACATGTTGCTGGTTTTGTTGTTGTGTTTTAGAGGCCGAGGCCAGAGTGACTCTGGGAAATCCTCCTCCGTGTTCGGGACCAGAACAGGGTCAGCTGTGGTTCAACGCTCAGAGGAAAGGCCTGTTCATCTGTGACGGATTCACATGGAGGACGCTGCTGCAGAGTGAGTGAGACACTGAAGACACATCGGAGAACATAAAACTGTTGTTTTATTAAGGTCACTGTAGAAGAGAATAAAATCACGATATTTATAAAAAAAGTTGTAATTTTATGAGAATAAAGTAGCAGCTGCATGAGAAAGGTCTTTATTGTGAGTTTTATGAGAATGATAAAGTTGTAATATATGAAAAAAGTCAGATTTCTATAAGTCAGTACGTTACAAGAATAAAGATTTATTTAACAATTTAGCAGGAAACCTTGATATTATGAGAAGTCAGAATTCAAGATGTTTTGGGAGGAGAAAAGTTATTATATATATAACTTATATAAAGTTGTAGTTAAATAAAAAGAGTCACATGGCTATCTATACTTCCTCAAAGGATGCAGATTGGTCCGGTTCCACTGTAATTTGGCCTCCAGCTGTTGTGATCTGGTGATTCCAGCTGCCTCTCGAGGTTAACGCCCGAAGCACCGAGGCACCGAAGCAAATTCCTTGAATGTGACAAGGTAACTGGCTATAAACCAGTTTGTGATAATGACGTATCTCTCTCTGTCTCTCTTGTACTGTCTCATGCGTCCTCTGCAGATAAGGAGCGTTTGGATTACGTAGAGGACTACCAGGATCTGTACACCAGCTCAGAAACCTTCGACGTCGAGGTCTTCTCCATCCCGTCTGAGGGCCTTTTCATGGCTGCAGCCAACAGGTACCAACAACAGATCTCATGTAAGAACCGGACCTGATCCTTTGACCATGCGTCTCCATGGTAACCATCCTGTCTCCTCCCGCAGGGACTCTCGACCCGGTTCGGGTATCTATAAATGGAGGAACGGGTCATTCCAGCTGTACCAGAACATCAGCACTCAGGAGGCTCGAGCCTGGAAACACTTCACCATTGACGACAAGGTGAGAGCTGCTTTAGCTTAAAACTGGACCATACCATGAAACTAGTGATTAAAAATATAATACCATGTTGCTGTAAAACGCTTGTTCTTCAGATGTCGATTTACTGTTTGACCTTTCGCTCTAATTTACATCCTAAAAGCTTTATTTTATGTTGCTATCAGAAGGAATTAATGCAGAATTAATGTCAGAAATCTACCATCTAAGTGTCCAGATGTTTGCTAACAGAAACTGTTCATGTTATCTGATGTTTCATCGGCTTGTCTGAAGCTAAACCCAGACAGGTAAGAGAACAGGTATCTCTGCTAATGCTAATGCTGGTGAGTTAGCATATTTACAATAAGGCTTTAATATTTGTTTGTGGTCTGTGTCATTCCCTTCAATCAGTTTAATACAAACGTACTGACTGGACTGAATCGACAGTGTCAACAGCAATCTTCCTCTAGCTGTCGGCTGTGTTTAACCTCTGCCCATGTGACCTCTGCCCTGTGGTTGACTTTGTGAATAGGAGCGGTGTGTGCACTCAGTGAGAGGAGTGTCTTTGAAAGGTCAAACAGAAGCCAGAACAAAAATAGTTGAGGTTGTTAGTGAGCAGCTGTTTGAACTCTTTCTGTACAGTGAATGTGGTTCATATGTGCCGACACACACGGACAGGTGTTAACATAAAGCTCTGCAGGTATTCAGAGTGTAGAGAGGAAGGACGGTTACAGTGCTGGAAGGAGTATTCAGATCATGTGTCCTTTGTTTTGACCATGTAGTGTCTGGTCTATGGATTTTATCCGTATTGCGATGTGTTAAAGATGATAAATAATTGTATTTTTTTCTCCATCAGATTTTCCTGGTGGTGGCGAACTCCAAGGAGGCAGAGCCTGAGCTGTCGGTCATCTACCGGTGGAATCAGCGGCAGCGGCGTTTCCTCCGTCACCAGACACTGGAGACTCACTCCGCTCTGGACTGGGAGGCCTTTCAAATCCACAACCACAGCTTCCTGGTGGTGGCCAATCACAGACGAGGTAAAGCTGACAGAGAGTCACATGTTTTAAATGTATTTATTATACAACACGTACTCATCCCAGGTTGTCAAATACTGACGCTGCTGCTTTGTCACACCTGGTTTTTATTTTAGTTACCCAGATAACTCAGTTAAGAAGCAATTTACCAGCTTCTCAGTAAGACCGGATGTAAAGCTTACGTCATTTTCTCAAAGACATTACTTTGTCTCGCTCAGAAGTCTTTTTCAGTACATCATTTAATGAAAGAAGGCTATCCGAGCCTGAACAATAATTATGATTATTTCTCTCTAAGTCGACTGCTTCTTTTTATTTGTTTTTATGTTTCTGTTCTTGTGTTCGCTCTATAGCTCTCAATGTCTGTGAAATTGCCCTTTTCCTTTTCTTTGAACTTTGCTGCAGACTACAAACGATTAGCTACAAGACAGCAGGAGATTGTTAACGATGCCCAGCACTAACCCAATCACAAAATAAAATACTCTGTGTAGAGTCCAGATTAAAGTTCACACTACACTTTGAAGACGTGGTTGACGGAGTTCCTCTAGGCTCCGTTCTCGGTCCACTACAACAAAATATCTACCTTTATGCAGACGACACCGACTTATATAATGATACCACCAGGAGAGTAAGTGCTCTCAACAAATCAGTGGTTAAATGTACCAAAACTTCCTCCAGTTAAACGAAGATTAAAGTTCCAGAAACGCTGATAAACGTCTCTGTGGTGAGTTTATTTTGTGTGTTTAGAGACTGAAACTGTTTGAGTTGCTTCCTGACTACATTTTATCTCCTCGTCTGTTTGTCCGTCTGTTCTGTCCTCAGTGAAATAACTGAGTTTTATTGAACCATTAACATCAAACACACTTCCACCTGCTGCGTGTGTGGAGATAAAACACACTCATTGATCTGAGCTGAAAAGAAGGAAAGATTGTTTATGATCTGACCATCTGAAAGAAAAAGATGTAAAGAAAGAAAGAAAGCTGATGCAGGTGTACTGTGGTTAGATCACACACACACACACACACACACACTTAAAGGACACCTCAAAGGCCATTATCCAGCTTATACCAGGGTCACCTGCCAGGGCAAAAAATCATATCATAATTATACATTGAAAAGCTTTTTTCAAGTTTTTTATACAAGCCATAACTCTGTTTCCATGGTGCAATGGAAACGTTGTTCACTGCTCCAGATAATAGGACAAACCTTAGATACGACTTGGCAACTGGAGATATTTCTAGTTCCCTCTGCTCAGAGAGCTAACGTTACACTACGAGACAGAGAGCTAACATTACGCTATTTACAGAACATGTTTTTTTATCAAAGTTCATATATATATATAGATACTCTCGCTCAACTGCACTGTTTTCTGTTTCATTTTTTAAAATATTTTTTAAATAATTTAAATAATATTGGAATAAAAACACTGTACAGTGATGTGGACATGATTAATGTCGTTGTGTGTCCTCAGACTCCAACCACAACATCCACAGTGTGATCTACAGGTGGAACCCAAACACAAAGGTAACACTGCAGAGGACAAATGTCCAACTCACTATCCTCTAACATTCTGTCTTCTGCTCTTCTGTCCCTTTCCATCCTATTCTGTCCTAATCTTTACCATTCTGTCTCACCATGTCCCATCTGTCATATCCTGTCTCCTCCCGTCCTCTCATTTTTCTTTCCCATTCTTTCTCTGATTCATCCTCTGCTGTCTCTTTCGGTCCTGTGATGTCCTCCTCCTCTCATGTCATATCCTTCCTCTTCCTCTTCCTCTCTGGTCTTTTTACATCCTGTCCCATCGTCGTCTAACCCATCCTCTCTCTTCAGTCTTTTCCTTTGTCTCATGTTGTCCTGTATCCTGTCCTCACTGTGTCCTCTGTCACCTGTCCCTCTAGCTGTTTGAGGTGAACCAGACTCTGTCCACGTCCGGAGCATATGACTGGGAGTTCTTCTCCATCGGACCATATCATTTCCTGGTTGTTGCCAACACCTTCGATGGTCAGACGACCACCATCAGCTCCACTGTCTATGTCTGGTTGAACGGCTGCTTCCAGACCTTCCAGAGCATCCCGGTCAGTGTCCGCTGTCTTTGTATCTCAGCAGGATCTGGTTCCATCTGACCAGCTCGTTGAAGTGTTAGTGGGTCATTTTGGGGGGTTTTCAGCGATATTTAGAGATCAGGGCTGCCAGCGACCGTCTATTATAACAAAGAAAAGTGATATGCAGTTTTCTTCTACAGGACATACAGGTATATGTTTCCAGCTGGATGTATGAGAGTTATAGTACAAACCAAAACTCACATAGGGGTATCCGCCAGCGGTGGAAACCAGCTCCAATAAAACCTCTAAAGGCCTCATGTATCAGGCTATCAATAACCATCAATCAAAGAGAGTGATCGCTCTCTTCGTCTAATAGCATCATCAGACTCTTAACAATCAATCAATCTGGACAACATATGGACAACAACTTTCTAATAATGGAAGATAATGGAACAAACTCCCCTGTGGATAAACAGGATATAGCAGCTAGCTAACAGAGTGTTTGACTAATTTCTTTTAGAGTGTAAATTAAATTAAATTTTCCATTTGTCCGTGAAATCTCCTTCCTGCTCTCCAGAGGATGAACTCTCTCCTCTAGCGCCACCTTCAGGAAACACTGTGTATCTCCTCTACAGCTCAGACTGTACACAGAGATAAAGAGCCTGTTCTCCTGTCTGATGTGTGACAGCAGCCAGACGTGATGAGGACGATTATCTCGGTAATCACAGTGAATCAGATGCAGCGTGACGACATCCAACCACAAATCACACACAGATAAAAATAACCTGCTGAATCACCGCTGACAGAGACTGAAGTTCATGGATCTGAACTGATGAGTCAGCCTGGATTAAAAGACACTTTTTTATAGTTTCAGTCAGGAGAACATTTCAAATATCAGAAAACCTCCAGTTCAGTGAGAAACAGTGAGAAAGTCCTCATATGGAGGCACGTACAGCTCTGCTTGGAGTTTTCTATTTTTACCATATGTCCATTATTTCTTTATTTAATCAGAACCAGTATTTTCTATATGAGATACCAGTGTGGCTATCTACTATGTTTGTTTTTGAGTGAAAATACTTTATTCAACTTTTGTAGGAGCAAAGTTAGTGAACCTTAAGCAGGTAAATACAATCAGCTGTCGGCTAAACTAACCAATGAGATGAGAAACTGATTGAAACAGATGAAACCAGGTCGGTTCAGTCTTAATGGATGTAGTGGCCTAGACTCCAGATCTGATCAGGTTTCACACAGTCTGCCTCAGTGGAGTTCAGGAGATTAATTAGTGCTCAATAAGAAAGACTGAGCTGTTTGCTGCCTCTCCATCGTCTCTGTAATCAATCTGCAGGCGGACGTCCTGCAGGAATCAAACATGATGACAGACGCTTACATCAAAGTCACATTTATGAAAATCTGTTTCTGCTCAGTTCATCACTCAAAACCTCCAATTAAAGCTCAGGACACCAGAGGAGTGTAATTAATGAGGCTGTGTGTGTTGTTGGGGATGAAGTGAGTGGGTTTGTTGAGTGAGTGCGTGTGTGTGTGAGTGAGTGCGTGTGTGAGAGTGTGTGAGGGGGTTTCCAGCAGCAGACTGTTTGGACTCGTCCGTCAGGGCGGATCATCTGAAGACTTTTATTGGATTTTAAAACCACAAAAAACCTCCTGAACCTTTAATTCAACTTCTGACAGAATCACAGCCATTAAACTCTGTTTACTCCTGTAATGGATCCACAAATAGATCTCAGCCTCGCTCAAAGCTGGACGCCAGGAATACAAACCCTGCTGGTGTCCCCTGGAGGCTGAAAGAGTCATTACATCCAGAACCACAAACTAACTGTGTACAATATATATATAATAAACCTGGAAGCATCTAAAAGTTGTTTAAACTGAAAGAAGAAAGTCCAAAAGTCCAATGTAAGCTTCATTTACATCTGTCAGAGTTTCTTAGAGTTATTATTCTTAACTTTGTTCTAATTTGAAGATACATCATGTAAAACCGTCATAAAAACCTAATACACTGACAAAAAGGATTTTGTTTGGTCCTCACGCTCTAAATCTACACTGAAATATAATTAATCCTTTTCAAAATCATATTTATTGTATTATTTTGTGACTAAAAATAATAATAAATCCCTGTTGGTGCTGTAAATGTAACAGAAACTTTATGGATTTATCCTCTATGCAGACGGTGGGAGCGACGGACTGGGAGGCATTTCAGATCGACGGCAGGTTCTTTCTCGCCGTCGCCAACAGTCAGAAGTTTTCAGACCGCGGTCCGAGTCTCTACAGCATCAACTCCACCGTGTACGAACTCAACACGCTCACACAGACCTTCATCCACTTTCAGGACATCCTCACACACAGGTGAGCGAGCCACCCACTGCACCGAGGTACAGGTACACCTTAAACAATTCAGCGATGCTGTGGTTAATATGTTGTTGTTGTTTTTGTTCAGTGCTGTGGACTGGGAGTTCTTCACCATCGGAGAGGAGAAGTTCTTGGTGGTGGCCAACTCTCACGATGGCAGCTCATATTCCCTGAACAGTGTGGTCTTCAGGTTTGTACTTCCTGTTCGAGGTTAGAGGGATGTCCGTTAGAGTCCGTCAGTGTCCGTTAGAGTCAGTTAGAGTCCGTTAGAGTCTGTTAGCATCCGTTGGAGTCCGTTAGAGTATGTTAGAGTCAGTTGGAGTCCATAAGTCCGTTGGAGTCCGTTAGAGTCAGTTGGAGTCCGTTAGAGTCTGTTGGAGTCCATTAGAGTCAGTTGGAGTCCGTTAGAGTTCATTGGAGTCTGTTAGCATCCGTTGGAGTCCGCTAGAGTCAGTTGGAGTCCGTTAGAGTCTGTTGGAGTCCGTTAGAGTCCGTTGGAGTCTGTTAGAGTCAGTTGGAGTCCATAAGAGTCTGTCGGAGTCCGTTAGAGTCTGTCAGAGTCCATTGGAGTCTGACGATGTCTATCAAAATCTGTTGGAGTCTGTAGGATTTGATTGTGTATTTGAACTCTGTATCTCTATATGTGTTTTCAGGTGGCAGGGTTCTGAGGGCTTTGTTCAGGTCCATAGTCTGCTAACGTCAGGCTGCAGAGACTGGGAACACTTCAGCACTGACGAAGGATCCTTCCTCATCTACTCCAGCGCCACTTCCAGGCTCAGCAAGGTCTTCAAACTCAGGACCTACTGAATCAGACTCCGTCCGACAGCTCGAGCTTGAAACACTCGGCAAGAAGTTTTTAAACCTTAAAAACTGGGCCGTCATCCGGCTCAGTGACGTCTTCAAACTGCAAGTTTTAGTTTTACATCCTGACATCGTTTATTTCAATGTTTCCTTCACAACTGACTGAAGACTTCAGAGTTAAAGTTAAATCCTCACACCTTCAACCTGTGGAGTCCTGAGTGAGCTGCATTCACTAGCACCTTTCTTAAACTGTTTATAAAAAGTCATATTAAGCTCTGCTGATATGGAAAGAAAATATTTTAGAGCAAAGGACTCTTCAGGGCTGGGTGGTATCATCATGTACGAAGGTGTGCCGGTACTTCCCTTCAGGTTTACAATCATTACAACCTTCTAAAGGTTTTGGTTTGTAGTCATGGGTATATGTTAAGTTTCTTGTTTTCAGCAGAAGAATCATCGAGAGTCAGCCGTTGCCGGGCTGGAAGGTTTCTCACGTCATCACAAACATCAACACAAAGGTCCAAAAACCTGAGCAGGAAGCAGACACTGAGCGTCGGGGTGGAGTGGGTCTCACTTTCAGCCCTGCAGTGAAACGATGCAGAATCACCCACCGCAGCAGGAAAAGGTCACCGGCTGCAATAACAACACTCAACGGAAAAATTATTTACTTTATGAAACGATATACAGGAACTCTTCAGTTGGAAATGTCTTGTTGTGAAATTAAGACGGACGTGTTCATTCTGACGTTACTGAGGAGCTCTCAACTGAATCCTTCCTGTTATATCGCTCTCTGCACAGCCACCAGACTCCACTGATACCAACAGTGAACTTACCTCCATCAGTCAGTTTGTGTTATTGTGTGGATCCAAAGTCAGTCTGGTGGCTGTGGAAAGACCACAGATCGATATAAAGGCTTCAGCTGATTTATTCATTGATTTTATTCATTGATTATCAGACACGGGAAAAGAAACAAACAAAATCCAAAGGATGAACACATTAGAGTGAAACAAACAAAATCTAAAATGCCTCCATCAAAAAAGGTTTAAATGTTTTGTTAGCAGGTAGCAGCTGTTAGCTGGTTAGCAGTGCAGCTAACCTATCTGTCCTATTAGGTGACTCTGCCCCGACTGGGAGCTCAGAGCATCGGGGCAGTGTCGGTGTTTAACGTCAAACCGCCAAATTTTCCCAGTCAGTTAGCTAACAGCTACAAGTCAATCAGTAAACTTAGTAAATCTCTGAGAGTTGAAGCAAAGAAGCTGCACGACATCTGAGGAAAAAAACAGAAAATATAAATTTTCCCTCCCTGAACAAGAACTTTTGGATAAAAGTCTTACAGTAACATGTTAGTAAGCTACATTAGCTTCCTGCAGTTTGGACTCTTATGTGATCAACAGGTGAATTTATGAGTCAAAGTTAAACTATAAGAAGTTACTTTTCTGATTATCCTGTAACAATCGCTGCGATCCCACTTAACTGATTTTATTCTGAAGGGATTTTAAACGCTGGTGTGAATGTGTCATTAGAGGGGTGTGTTTTCAAAATAAGAGTACACTTTATTTTGAGTGACTGAATCATTTTCATTGTTTTACTTTCAAGAATTATTTAAAGTTGGAAACTGGAAGAAATATAATACGTTTTTATAAATGTAAATAATTAATAAGCTATAATAAGATATTAAAGGAGAATATATCGCTGAAACCAAAGAAAAGCTTTTTAAAAACCTTTTGTACTCGACTGATTCTGGTTAAAAATGAATATTAATATTACTGTATGTTCAGATTTGTGTTGTGAATTATGTTTAAAAAACATCTCTGTTCTGTAATAATGTTGATGAATCAGATATTGATTTAACAGGAAGTAGTTACAGACAATAATAACTATTAATAATAATATTTAAAATATTATTAAACAATAATTTATTGTTGGGTTTGGTTATAAATCTTAGACGACTAATATATTATTATTCATGATAAACCGTTATTTGAAGCAGAATCTTTGTATTATCTGATTATCTGATGTTGTTTCACTCTCATGTTGGATTTATTTCCTGCTCCACTTTGGTTTTATTTCCCTATAATTTCACCCATATTTATATATTTATACATCAATATATTGAGTTTTTATTTTCATGTGATAATTTCTGCTGAAGATATTAAAGATTTCACACAAATAAAATGAGCTTTTTTTTGAGAATTTTTTTAATGAAATATATTGATTTCAGAATTATAATTATTATTATTATAAGATGAAATCAGGTAGTGATCAGTTTTTGCTCCTTTCATTCTTTAATAAATAAAATAAGAATAATAACGGCTGTTTTATTAAATATAACAATAGTTGTTATTTGTTCCGGTGTTGAAAAAGTGAGAACAGGTCCAGTGAAAGTCTGCAGGTTCTGGATCAGGTTCAGGCCAGAAGCAGGTGGAGGTGGACTGGTTCTGTGGAGGGTTAATGGGGATCAGGGGACAGGTAGACTGGTTCTGTGGAGGGTCTGAGGCCATCTGGTGGACTGGTGGACTGGTGGAGAACTGCAGGTCTAAGTGATGAGCTGGAGGAAGAGAGCAGAGACAAACAGTTTAACACTGAAACCTCTGAGCTGCACAAAGTAACATCAGGGAGAAGTTTGGATATTAATTTATAGTTTTTATTCATTTCCTTGTAGAAACATGTCGGCTGTTGTCCACAGGGAGCGCTACAATCAACACCATGAAAGTTCACTTCATCCTTAATTACTAACTCTATTACTGGGCTCTGTGTTCACATCCCTTTCTTACTTTTACATTTATATTAAAGTAAAGTTGATCATTTCAATGAACTTTATTTGAATTTAACTTTGAATACAAACAATATAAACTAAAAACATTT